TTGAATATTATCTTACTTCTACACTTAGCACCCCTCCAAAAAAAAATTTTCTTTAGGTTTACGAACCAAAATTTTATAATATATAGGCTGTTATATTCCTTGATTTTTGGTTTTTTGGGATCTTGTTCACCGTCTGATGTTATTGAACACACAACGCTTTGAGGATTGTATCTGTCCTCGTCTTCAGGTATGCTGAAGGGGGCACCTACTCTGTGGAGTCCGTTATAATGAGCTAATCTCAATGTATAGCTCATTGAAAGCACATACATATAAACATGAAGGTACCGAGTTGATTTAATAGGAGTACAAGTAGACTGATTGAAACCCAACAGATCTTTACTAAAGGATGGATAGAATATGTTTGAACACAGGTCATAACGTTTTCATAATTGAAGCAGTTATTGAATTAAACGCATAAAAGTACCAATTACACATTAGTTTTAAATTATGTCTATGCATATATAAATTACGTACATTTATATTTTAAATGGGGATCACTTTAATAAACTTTACACATTTCTAATGATTTATTAAGCATATTATATAATAAATATTTTTATTAACAGTCATGCCCTAAAAAGTTTTTATTGATGGTGAAAACATTAATTATTATCTGTGACACGAATAAAATATTTTCCTTTGAAGAGAATCGATCCAGGATGTCGATTATGGACATGAATATCACTATGAATCGAGCTACATCTCTTCTTGATCGACTGGTGAATTCAATATATTTTAAGATGGCTGTCTTCTGGGTTATAGCGCCGTCTGGTAGACTACATCGCCCTGATGATGGAGGCAGCAAGGACCTATGAAACGCTAATAAACTTGTACCAGAATACACGGCGCTATAACCTAGAAGACAACCATCTTCGGACTTACCACCATGAAAAAATCAAATCCTACTCAACATATTTTGCTTGTGTCAAGTTGAGATAAAGCCTGAATATTATCGATTAAAGTGAATAAGCATATTATTTTAAATTATCTATTCTGCCAAGTTAGTTTGATAAGAGTGCGAAAGAGCGAGTCTGTAATCTTTGTTTCCACATTTTACAGCGCCGATAAAACAACTTTACTGCAGGCATATGGTTCAATGTTTTGACAACTGTCCACATTTCACAGAAACCATGTGTGACCTAACCTCTCACTGAAATGTAATGGAAAGTATTTTCTGTGTCTTATTCGGTCGTAGTGCTAGTAAAATAAATATATATTTTTTTTCCTCAGCACTTTGCGTCGGAAAATCTCATTCTGTCTTTTTTTACTCGGGGCGAGATACCAGATTTCATAACCATACAAAACCAGGTTTCCCAACCAGTAGCCGGTGCACAACTCTTGTCCCATCCATGCGCGCTAAATGACCAGCCCATCTCATTCTTCTCGTCTTAATCACCCTGACAATATTGGGGGAGGAGTACAGATTTTTAAGCTCGTCATTGTGCAGTTTTCTCCAGACCCCATCGTCTTCCCTCTTAGGCCCAAATATCCTCCTCAACACCCGATTCTCAAGCACCTGCAATCTGTGTTCCTCCCTCTGAGTGAGAGACCATGTTTCGCACCCATACAAAACAACAGGCAAGATTATTGTTCTGTAAACTTTAATTTTCAGGTTTACAAAACAATATATAATATTGATAATGATAATATGAATTTTGACGCAGTGTGGACTCACCGGTAAATGTCAGTGTCCCAGAGGAACCATCTACAACAACATCAGTATTAAATAAACTTTTTAATTAAACGCCCCATATTTCGTGTTAACAATTTTTTTTAATGTTATCCTTTAGTTTTGTATTCCGTCTTTTTAGCGTCACTTGTTCTCACTTGCACGTAAATGCAGCAAGTTATAATAAAACTGGATTAAGTTGTCAGTTTTTACGCAATATTAATTTCTTGCTGTTATTTTAAAAGAATTATTCGATCTGGAATAGTAACCACAAACAAGCAACAGCGCCCTCACTACTGTGACGTCAACCGAAAATCACACCACTCACTTGAGAAACCCATATGCTGCATAAATAATAGATACTGAATGACGAATAAAAATGAAAGGTTATGGAGGGAGGAGTATAATATTCTGCATTAAATTTTGAAATAATACGAACGTTCCATAGACTTTATAATTTAACCCAAACTGCATTGTTTTATACAAAATTCCATCAAAAGATACTTTCCAGACTTAAAACAGTGTGATAAATGTACATTTTACATAAATTTATGTACTATTTTAAAAAAATTGAACTTCTTTGATTACATGTAAAAAAAAATTTGATATTTTGCGACCCTTTCGTAGTACTTAAGTTTTTCAAATGTTTTGTAAACAAATAATTACACGCATTTCAAATCTTCCGCTTATTTATGAACACCCTGTATAATGAAGCCACTTATCGTGAAAGATAAAGAAATCGAAGGCAAGGGTGTAAAGTCAAAAGAACAATTCTTTCGTCTCTGAGTAAAAAAGGAAAAGGAAAAGAATTGAAAGTAGATTTTTAGGATTTTGAAATGGCAATCTTTTGGCGAAAAGCTGGTTTACGTTACCCGATTCTCTCTAACAAAGCTCTCAAGCTCCTAATCTTGTTTGACACTCAGTGCGTGTCTCTGTGAGACTGTTTACTTTTTCAGCAGTGGGCAACATTAAAACGGAGACAAGGAATAACTTGATCTTAGTCATGACTTGAAATGTGCATTAGCTCTTACCCTTAGACCAGGCATGCAGAGGTACTATAAGCCTTCACACTTCAAAATCCATATGAAAAATCTTGTTAATGATGTGTTATCATTTTATGAATAAAAACCTGATATATGATCAGTTTAAAATACAATGAGTTTTCAATTTTTTTTCAAGAAATGTATTAGAAATCTGTTTGTTATTAATGTACTTTATATATATATTATTTGTGTGGGTTCTAAACTTGGTTTTATCGCATTTAGGAAAGATAGTCTTAGATGGAAAGATAATATTAGTATGGTTAGAAATATATGACGCGAAAAGGTTTATGGATTGAACTGGCTCAGAACAACACTTCTGTGAGAATAATAATAATGCTACCTTTAGATTTCCACAAAATTCGGGAGATTTATTTACCAGTTAATAACTGTCATTATCACAGAAAAACCTGATTTACGACTTCATCTGATTAGTTTATATATACGCGGCCATTTTCAGATAATTTCCTCTGCAAGAAATTAAAATGAAGCCGTGGTTTATTAAAATTTACAAAAATCTTACACCCACGTTTATCTGTTTAATATATGATATTCTATATTCAAAAATCTGTTTATTCATAAGAAGGTCATTTGAAAGTGTTGTGTACTCCATATATTCTGTCAGTATTTGAAGCTGATTGTCAGATTCAACGTCTGACTGTGCTTGGCTTCAGCGCTGAAATTCTGATATAACAAATGTAAGAAATGTTTAACTACGTTTTTCAAAACAATGTCGATAGTTTGTGGACATTTAGCATCCAGCTGTGTTCTCACATCTATCTGCGGTACGTTTTTAATTTATTTAAAACTTTTACTGATTTCGTTTAAATTTATTAAGGTTTGCCATAATAAATTTTTTATTAAATATGGATCTCTCTACCCTGAATGTAAATTAGAATCAAAGTATAATTTGTTATTAACTGTATTATTATATATACAGGAGACTGGAAATCTGATTTCGACGAAACGCTGTACTAATGTAACAGATATTTCACCTCGCTCACATTTCTTAAAACAATAAATTATTTTATATAAGAATTTATAATAAGATTAAAAATAATTAAATACTGGTCTAAAGCTCCTTATTTAATATTAGCCATGATAATAGCAGACGTAGAGACCAGTCTCTGACGAAAAACCTTATATATTTTCCTGTTTCCGTTTTAGAAATGTCACGCAAACGTAACTTAAATATTTCGTCCACAGTTTTTATCTAACTGTTAATTACATATACAAGAATAAATACCCGTTGTCATTCTATAAAGAATGCCTCACTTACAGCTTATAAAATTCATCTAATAATGATATGTACCAAAATAACTTGTTGCCATCATGAAACCAGGATGAATCATACATATCTGATCTGATTGACTGTGTATGCAAACTTGCGTAAGTAATTTAGCTAATTGCGTTACTCTTAAAGAAATATTTAGTACTCCAGAATTATGTTTAATCGAATGACCATCCAAAATCAGGCCTATTGTAATCCAAATTTCGAACTTAAATCACTGAATATGAATTTTTAAAGAGGTAATAAGTCAAAATGTATTTTGTGGTAAAAAGAATGATTGATTTCTGCTGAAAACTTGAAGGCAGTTTTAACCTAAAATACTGCCAATAATAATGCTAGACTTTCTTTTAGTATTTACGTAATAAAAATGATATTAGTTTTATAATTAGTGATTTATAAGAATGATTTTGAAGTAAATATTTTGGAAGAACTTTATAGATTAATATAAATACAGCGATCCTCAAGTCTATTAATGGTTATTGAATTATTTTCATTTAATATAGTAGACAATGAAGCACACGTAGATTAGCAAATGTATGTTGAAGTTCGTATTTCAGTTTTTAGTTTACAAGTTTGATTTTCCTTTCATCGAGTGTCGCATATGTACTAAAATGTTATTAAAGTTAAATAATGTGAAATCAAATGAACTTTATATTAACATATATTTCTACAAGTCAATATTGCTTTACTAAGAAGATGCTTAGTTTTGTCAATTGTTTTACAGTAATTTTGGAAATATTTTGTATTTATTTATAATAAAATTTGTAGCTACTAAATAATAAACTTTCACTGTGATATTAAACATACGAATTTGTGCAATAATACGAACAAAAAATCTTACTTATTGTCCAACTTCTTTGTGTGAGTAGTAATAAGTTAATTAACGATACAAATTCTGTTACTTTTAAACACGTTGAAAAAATGCATGATAATTAATTAATATTTTATAAATATTGTGTAATGATTATAAAGTGACGATATTTAACGCTGAGGGACTCACCATATTAATCCTGTTTATGCCGTTGATCCATGAGGCTGATTAACTGCACCTGTTTTTTTTATCTCGGTAGCTGATTCGTCGGATGCCAGTTGTAACTTTTATAATCACGTTTCCTTTCAAATCGAATAAAAATACGGTACGGTGTTTGTCCCTATATACAGCGTCAAAAGTTTCAAATACAATCTATAATGTTTCACGCGTGTCGCCTTTGCGGCATCGAAATAGTCCAACAGTACACATCAGAGTACAGTGTCATACGCCGACAGCTCTGCCTACTTCATACAGAGAATGGCAAGCTAGTGTCACTACGGTCAGGATCCATCTCTCCCCTCACCAACCACCACTCGATCCACACACACACACACACACGTACATACAAACAGCAGAGGCGCACCCGATCGGAGAATGCACAAACCAAATTATCGATTGATATGTGAGGTTATGGCAAAATGGGGATGATGGTTAGAGGGGTTCTTAGGGGGGGAGAAGGATGTGCAAACACGAGATGAAATTCAATTTTAGTACATCTGCCTTACCAACAGTCGTGTGTTTCCAGCTTTCCTAGCCAGGCTCTAATTTTATATATATATATATATATATATATATATATATATATATGTACGTTTCCCTAAACCGAAGGGGGAGTTATAAATTATAACTGCTGATTAAAACTCGAATAGAAATGTAATAAGACCGGATTATTTTTTTATCACAAAGCGACAGGAATTTGTAAGTTTAATGTGTTAAACGAGAATATTACAAACTAATTTAATCTTAAAATTTAATAAATTTATTTGTAATTTAAATGGCAGTTACAGCGTCACGCTTTGGTAAGTGATAATACGTCGTGGTTTACGGATTCGATATCAAGACATTTGAGGTTAAGAAAGGAGAAATATGTTTGGTTTAAACTATTGGATACCCGGATGAAATATATGCTACTTAAAAGGAACGCAGAAGAAAATACAAAACAATGAAATAACAGAACAAGTGAATGAATTAAAGCGTAACAAAATAAAACGTGGGAAAAAAAAAAGAAAGAATAACGCCAATGTGAGAGTAGGTTCAGATCTTTTGATTCTCTGAGACAGAAGTGGAAAGAAACACGGTAGAATGTAAGTGGCGAAAAGGGAGAATAGCCCGTAGTAGCTAAGCGGACGAGAGAGGCGAGCAGAGAGGAAGAAGCATGTGACGAAATGAAGGAAAGACAATAACACACACACACAGAGACGGTTAAAGGCTACAAAAAAAAAAAAGAATTGGCAGTTCTGTTGTCAGACTGACACAAGCGAAATGAACACAAAACGACGGGCAGATACGCGGCCCATACAAATGCCGGAGATAACAGATCGGCGGATGCACAGACAGGTGAGAATCGCATGTATACGAAGAATATACAAATGGACATGAAGACCGATACACAGCCCATATGAACCACGAACGGACATGGTGATAAAGAGATAGCCAAATACAACACAGCCATTTACGAGGAGTTGATAGTCACTAAGCTAGCCAAGAAAATTCTCTTTTGCGGTAACTTAAGTTTCGTCGGCGTGTTCACAAGAGCGCGCCACTTGCTACTATCCTAGGCCAAACGAATGCGGCCCACAACTTCGCATTTAAATTCTGTGTGATCCTTTGTTTTATTATTTTTGTAGTCTCTTTGATACAAGAAATTTGTATTTATCGTATATTTAATTATCATAAAATTCTTTGGACAACGAATTATGAATCCCAGTCTTTATTATTTTCACCTTGTTATATTTAAATATACTCGTTAGATTCCTGTACTCTAACACCATTAGTCTACAATGTTGTTCACTTGATGACAGCAAATTTTCACACCCATAGAAAGTAACGTAAAATTATAGTTATATTTTAATCTTAACATCCCTAGAGGAAAGTGTGCAAAAAAAAGAATGTTTCTGAACTCAGTGGTAAATAGCTCACTGCAGACAGTCTGGATACACAGACAGGTGGATTTTCCATTTATTTATTTATTTTTATATTTGTACACGTACATACGACGACCGCTAAAGATGGCGACTGACTTTTAACATTTGCCTGTAATGTAACGTGTTACAAATCGAGCATTACACAAGTGAAGACAGCGAACGGAGCCGCTCACGCTCGCGGGCGCTCCATCGTGTTGTCGGTTTTTTCGCGAATCCCTTTGAGTGTTACATTACAAGTCAGTCAGTCAGTCGAGCGGCGTCGTAACGAGCATTCACGAGTTCTTTAGATAACAGTAGCGTATTAAATGAAACAAAGATAACACAACCTCCACGTCCGACATATTGAATGAAATGAATGGAGCACACACGAGCACAGTCGAGCCGAGCGTTCAAAACGAGCATTCGATGCGCCACACTAGTTGTGGTGTAATGTAACATGCGCGCCGCGAATGTTACATTACGAGTAAATGTTAGTCAGTAGAGAAATAGATGCATTCTATTCCACTCACAGACGATCGGAAAGGCAGGCAGAGGACTGCAGAACTACAAATTGCAAGAGAAATTGTATATTAATATATTTTCTGACTTTCTCCTCGACTTAATAATTTCTATGCTTTGTGTTTCCATTTCCTGTATGTTTTATTTACCATATTGAGTATATTCGGAAAATAAATTTATTAATTTGTTTGCATCTTTCTACCACAAATAAAGTTAAATTCCCCTTACTTCGTTATTGAAATTTAACCTGTCAGTTACTGTCAGATTAAATTGATTGTTTTAAGCGAAAATTTAGAACCGGGATAATTCGAAATTATTTTATGTTCAAGGGCATTTTGATAAATACAGTAAGCACATATAAAACTAATATAAATTAAATATAATAGGGAAGTAGCTGTGATTGCAATTTACCTAAAATTATATAGGCCTAGCAGAGAAACTCAGATAAAGTCTTTCTAGGCGTAAGAACATTAAAATAAATATCAATGAAAAAAAAATAATTATGTTACGTCGAGAAAGGAATATCTCGTATACAGATCTTAATGAAATATGTATATTAAATATATAATTTGCTTAATATGAGGTTTAATTTATTTAAACATATACATATTTAAATATGTTTTTATGTATTGTTTCTGGAGCTATGATACCTGATCTGTTCCGTCATTCTTGCTACCTATGTGCTATGTAATGACGTTTTCAGTCCAATCCATGTTTTAAGTTACTATACCAGCAATTGTTTGGAATGAAATAGGAAAATTACGAGAAATCTGTTGGGAGAGGCTGAGACTCGAGCCTAAAAGTAAAAAAAACATGACACTCATAATTAAGTCACTGGGTTCGATACGACTTTTTTTTTATATTTATCGATAATAACTAAATGAAACTCTTGGAAACAGATTGACGTCATCATTTTCATCATCATAAATCTTTGAAGATATCGGACGAATATTTTGAACACCTAGGGATTTTATTCCATATTTGTCACACCTGTTGAAGCTTATATTACTGACAATAAGATCTCCAAATGTAAACTATAATATTACGTATTTATTCTGGTAAATATTGTAATTACCGTATATAAATTTGTATCGCAATTATTCTACTGTTGAATGCTACCTTTATTTTCATGAAGTGATTAATTTGACAGTAGCAGTTGAGAGAAAAACACTAACCTCAAAAAATTTATAATTATCCTAGGATAAACACAGATAAATTAAGATAGTGTAATTGCGTCATATTGTGAATAGTCTAACAATTATTTATTTTCATCCGTCTTATCACAATATTTAAAATTTCTTATAATTAAGATAATAAAATATTATTGATGTTCCATATCGATTGATCGATTTACACTTTGGAACATCCTTTACACAACATGTTTCAGTTTTTATAAAACCATCTTCAGGTGTATAAGATTTTCGAACTTAAAACTCAAATATTATTCCATTTGGTGATGTTTTATGCCATCACATCACCAAATGGAATAATATTTGAGTTTTAAGTTCGAAAATCTTATACACCTGAAGATGGTTTTATAAAAACTGAAACATGTTGTGTAAAGGATGTTCCAAAGTGTAAATCGATCAATCGATATGGAACATCAATAATATTTTATTATCTTAATTATAAGAAATTTTAAATATTGTGATAAGACGGATGAAAATAAATAATTGATTGACAGATAAATTAGTTGACACGCGTGTTTTCTAATATAACCAGCCGTCTACCTGATACGTCTTACAGAGGAGTTTGAGGCGTTTGCCGACAGATTGCAGTTAATCCTCATTTTGAAACAACAGCATTATGAATGGCTTTATTAGTTTATTAACTATGAATTAAAACATCCTGATCGTTACCTTTTATTTATTATTAATGATTAATGTACCTTATGTATTAACGAGATATTGGTTCATACGTTATTTAATGTACTATATCAACTGCAGACGTTAAAAAGTGTGAGGACAAGTTTTAAAACAATATAACCTCATACAGTGTATATTATAGGTACATTTAAATTTTATATATCAAGCACAACATGAATAAAGACATTTTATAGTTTTAAGCTAAGGTAATTTGAAACACATAAGTGAATTTTATTATTGAATATTGAAACTTATTGCGGTAAAAATATCGAAATGAGAAAAAAATATTAAGTGGTTTTCAGAAAAAGGCCAATGTTTTCGAAATAATTTTCTAGAGCATTAACAGAAATTGACTTGCAATTTCATAATGGCAGTTACAGTATGCATGTTACAATGTTTTGTGGTTATGTTTACCAGTGGATAATTCTCCGATCATAAAATCACAAAAATTCTAGGTGTATTTTTCTCGTGGATATTAGCAGAAATATTATCTTGGCATTGTTACAATAACTACATAAATCACGTAAATCCTCAGATGTCATAACTGTGTTAGGTAGTATTCGAATTGTTTGAACCACCGAATACAAATCAAATGTATTTGCCTCAGAGCCAAAGAGATAGAGAAACGAGTATATTCAATGCCGGATAAAGATAAGCGTTAGTAGCTGGCACAGTATCTTCAAAATCAATGTCAGTTTGATATTGACATATTGGTTAAGTATATACTTTCAATATGGTGTTAGCACCTATTTTTATTTTGATATTATGAACATTACGTCCCTCTTCTTCCTATTTTTGTACTAACAAACACATTCATATCAAACAGAATAAGCAAACTCACACGTCAGCGCGAATAGAGATCTAAATAAATCTATTGGATCTCAACTCCACATTATGGAAGCAAGTAGTTTGCATGTTAAGCAAATAATAGTTCTAGATCTACCTGGTAGATGGCACTGAAGTATTTGCAGCTGAGATATATGCTAGCACACACGTACAAACACAGCGATTTTTTAATTTAAAAATATTATTAAACATATATTACTTAGGCTGTTGTTAATTTT